GAGGTGAAAGGAACATGTCAGGTATTCTTCTTCTTTATTTCTCTTTTTTTTTTTTTTTTTTTTTTTTTTTTTTTTTTTTTCATCTTTCTTTTTGTTTTTTTTTTTTACAAAAAGAAAAAAAAAAGAAAATATGAGGACGGAAAAACGCACCGCTATCCCGCGCAAAGCTGCTGCGATTAAACTCCTTGGCCAGAATCATGGGCGTCCAGCACAGGTCCACGCCGTAGTGGTGCACAGTCTGCCGAAAAGCGAGCTTGCTGTAGCGCACCATGGGAGCGCATGCATAGACAAACTTGTCTTGTTTCCGGCATGCGTCGAATATCTTTAAAGGGCTGTTTATTAATCCCGGGGGGTCAGTTCCAACATAAAAAAAGCTAGAGACGGTGTTGGTGGGCACTTTTGTTGGATATGAAAAACTCACTGTGTTGTAGGGGGCAGCACTGCGCTGTCCACGTCTGTGCTCCCCATGCTTGCCCGTTTTCGACTCTATTAAAAAAAAAAAACAAAAGAGGTAATATCGATACTTTTGCAGGATTCAAATCCGGCTGGTACCGTACTTTTCATAACTCGTCGTATGGGGGTTTGAAACGTTCAAACAGAATCGCCTGCAGAACTTTTTCGGCTGGCTTCACTGAAAAAAAGAAAAGCGGGCCTCGCCGTCTTGCTGGCTTATACACATGACCAAGTTATCACACAGATTTGTCTACAGTATATTTATTATCCCGGTCCATATCGTACAAAACATATAAACACCAGAGTATGCATCAACGCCATTCATGATGATGCCAAAAAAAAAAATAAACAAGTCATTAAACAGTCACTCGGACATCATCCCCGAGTCTCTCTGGCCGTGGTTGGCGCATCGAAGTCAATCCCAAACAAGCCATCCGCATCGCCCACCATTTCCGCCGCCTCGGCTACCGCCAGCAGCATCTTGCGCTCCACAAAGACCTCTTGCATCCACCGCTTCTCCGCCACCACTCGCCGTGCCAGCTCCGTCTCCATCTCGTCAAGCCGGTCCTTGAGACGGTGCTTGACGCTGTACATGAGCTCCTCGCGCATCGTCAGCCCGTCCTGCAGCGCGGTCCGACACGCGTCCAGCTCGGCCGTCTTGCGCTCCTGCCAGAGCCGGTAGCCCCGGTCCATGCGCTGCCGCAACGGGAGCATGGCCGACTCGATTTCAGCCGCGGCGCCTTTGGCCTGGTCGGCCTGGTCGGCCCAGTACGCCTTGAGCTGCGCCTCGTAGTCGTCTTCAATCTTGCGCTCCTTGGCAGTGCGCGCGGCGAGGTCGGCGTCGAGTTCTGCTTGCTTGTGTGCCATGCGTGCCGCAATATCGGCCTTTATGCTGGCCAGCTCCGTCTGCTGCTCCTTTTCGAGCGCTTCTTGCTTGGCCTTGGCGTCAGCGGCCATGTCCTTGGCGTCGGCCTCTTGCTGCCACTCGGCGATGCTCGCTTGCGTCTCGTGCAAGGCGTCCAGTATGCGAGCGAGCTGCTGATACTTGACCTCGACCGTCTGCCGTCGCAAAATCTCACCCCGCGCGCGCTCCTTGTGCATCGCGATTCTGTGCTGTTCTTCCATCTCGGCCTCGCGACGCTCCAGTTCCTCAATCTGCGCCAAAATCTCCCGCAGCTCCTCCGACTCTTGCTGTTCGCGCCGGCGCCGCTCCGCTCGTCGGACCTCTGCCGCGGCTTTTAGCTCATTCAGCTGCGCCATGGTGCATGAGCAGGTGCACCAGCGTCGGCAGCAGACGTAGCAGAATTGATAGCCGCAGCGGCACGTCATGTGCTGGCAGGCCTCGCGGTGCTCGACCAGCGCGCGGCATTTGGAGCAGCGCTTCCAGCCTTCTTCCTCGGCCAGCCGATTCGTCATGTTCATCTCTTGATCCTCGGGACACTCGTTTTTCCCGTGCGCTGGCCGACGGCAAATCGTGCATGTCGAGTGGTTTTGTGAGCATCGAGCGACTCGTTTGGCAAGGTTGATGTTCTTTGGGGGAATCATGACGGAGCATTCCGAGACATGGCAGTATACGCGTTCAGCAATGGGAACCTCCCATTCCGACCGTCGTTGATCGAATGTCGTCTTCAAGTCGCTTGGTATGTTGGCCAAGACTGTGCGGAAAGGAATCTGGTTGAGACAACACTTTGGTGGCCACTGCTGCTCGTTTGCGCAGGCGGCTGTGATGAGTCGGACAAAGCAGTCGTTGCAGTAGCTATGGCAGACAACTTTGACAAGATCCTTCTTGGCAAAGTCATCAAGACAAGACACGCATTCACTAGATGATTTTCTGTCAATTGCACAAACTCGACCAAAGCCCAGCGATCCCGCTTACACCAATTCTTGCGTGTCTGGCACGCGAACAGTCTTGTTTCGGCGCAACTTTTGAAGCGTCTCTTGCGAGTCCGGCGCGGTCGATTCAACATTTGCTCTGCTGAGACGGTTTTCGAGATGTTGAAGAATGGCTTCGCGGGCAGCGCCAGCCGCAGCACTTTCGCCCGTCTCAATACTGCGCTGAAATAACCTTCGAAAGCCAAATTTTCGGCGCCTGTCCACTTGCTGCTGTATGAAACTGCGACGAGCCATCAGCGATGCCGTATCGCAATCCGGTTTAATCTCTAAAATTGGCAAAGTATCAATCTCCTTTTCTTTCTTCGGACTGTCCATGTTGATGGGCAGATATGGTTCCCTATTCTTCGCGGCCTCTAGCGCCTCTGCATCCTCCACTGCCTTGCGCGCGGCCTCTTCTTCCTGTTCACGTTGTAATTGCTGCTCGACTCGCTTTTGCACGTTGGTGATTGACTGGGAAATAATATCAGTGAGCGGTTCCGAAACCACTATCGAAGCATCGGCCAATGCTGCCGGCGGACTGTACAGGCGCCAATCGACCTCGTCCCCCCCACTGGCAACGGGTGGCATCTGCGCTTGATCGAGGGCATTGTGGTGTTTCCGTAGCCATTCGTGCTGTAATTGCGCCAGATATTCTTCAGGGTCCTCTACAATATCGGCCAAGGCTGTGTCGTCGTACGCGCCGGGGATAGCGGGCCGGGAAGACGATGGCGCTGCGCCCATGAGGATGCTGGCTTCCGCTGATGAGCTCCCTTCGTCGGTCGGGACTTGGGCAGTGGAAGCCAGCGAGGATCTCTTAATATTCTCCTTTTTCAGATAGCTGACTTTCATGACTTTCATGGCGAAAAGTGGCAGCAATTCCGAGTCGACGAGCAGTCAACTTGTTCTTCTCCTCCAGGCAGCCGTTGGTGGTGGTTATATGCGTGCCGCCCGCAAAGTGGGCTCACGACCGATCTGCACCGCGGGCACACGAGCTTTGTTTTTCTTTTTTTCTAAAGC